ATACTTTTTCATTTTACAACAATAGTAGACCATTTTATGTGGCCATATTTTATTAAGATATTTTGACCTTTGTTACTGAAGGACTATTATATTTTGTCCAACAAAGTAAAGTACCGATAAAAAAGTTATGAAAAACGTGCATATTTAGTAAAACTAATATTGCCTGGGATGCCACCCTTTTGCATTTAAAAGTTTGGACCTATGAATTCGTGGCCAGTCGCTTTCCTATTGAGAATATCTGCCGCTTTATTCGCCAGGAAATTAGATAAATTCCGCTTCTGTCTTCTACGAGTATTACGAGTATTGAGGTTACCTTGTGCGAGGAGCGCCGCACAGTGTATCATTTCCATATTCTAGAAAAGATTAATTACATTATTTTATGTCGCCGAATTTCAAAACAACGTCAAGAATGTTTTTAGAAATGCCTGATAAAGACGAAACAATAACAACTAAAAAATTTAAATCAAAGTGTATGGCGGGACGGGGTTTGATTTGGAAAATTACTGAGCGCAATAATATTTAAACTTGTATATTTGAAACGGAATCTCAATGTTTAATTTGTCGGTGTTATGTGATTTATGCAACAATTGCTAAAATATCATTTTGGTCTTATTTTTTTAGGTATGGTCTTTTCAATGAATACACGTTGTTGGGAATTTAGTAAACTAGGACTGAGTATTTCATGTTAAAGTAAAACGATGTTGACTTAGACTTATTTTTAACAAATTATTATTTTTATTAGACCTGAAAACTCGTTATCCGCCACTATTCGATAAAGTTTGTATCTCAGTTTATTTGCCACTCCTCTTAGACTTTAAACAACACAATTTTAGTTGCTGGAAAGTGCAGGTTTTGATGAAATTTTATTTTTTCTGGCCTACTGGGAATTTAATTTTCTTCGAGTAATATCTCGACCGACACAAATTCTTTATTTTTGCGTTGAATAGAGAAAGCCTGATTCATTACATTTCCAGTGGTATCCCATTTTTGTAAATAGAACAAGAAATATTGAACTTATAACAGAATTTTGTTGACCCGACTTGACTTTTATATCGATATTTTCCTCGCCCATAATTAAAAAAAAATATATTTATTTTTAAGTCCATTTCTGTCAGTTTATAATTCCTTGTTATAGGGAAATTCTAAATATAAATTTTGGGCATTTTAGCCTTTGTAGTTAGTTAAATATTTCAGTTTTTGCATTTTTTAAAATTGCAGTTATATAAATTACCAATTTGTAAAAAGCTTCGCCTATCTTATAACGTACCTTGTGCAAAATTTCATTAATTTATCTTCAATAGTTTTCGAATTACAGAATTAAAAGCAGCTATATGGGTCAAATCTTACACTGTGCGCCGCTCTGCTGTCGGAGTGTAAATAGATAGGTTTATGTGTCCCTCTTGCCTCAGACATAGTGCTATGGCAATCACCTCAGCCTGAAAGAAAGACGAAGTTAACTTGCCCCATGCTAGTGAAGATTAGCGTTCTGGGCTGTATATCATAGAGCCGTGCTTCGACGCAATCCCCTCCACGTAATCCCCTGAGTTGAATCTTGCAGTACATGGAAACAATGTGTTTGGGAAGGCTGGTTCGTGTTGTTCTCCTGCACCAGTGATACCCACGAAGGTTGGTTGGTTGGTTTAAGTGGATTGTCACTCAGGTGACAAGCAATTAGCAAGTTTGCCATTTTGATTCCACAACTCGTGTTTTGCTCATTCCTAAGAGAGCTTTGGTTTTGAGTGGGTCGTAGGACACCCAGAACTGCCGGGCAATTCTGTAGGATCCTGTGCAGTTCCACCTCTGCCTGGCCTTCGAATGATAAAATTCGGTAATTTTTGTCTTAATCTCCCTGAGCGAGGCGCCCATGTCCACCGCGTGGGACATATCCAGTGCGGAGCCGCTCCTTGCTAGTTCGTCCGCTGCTTCGTTTCCGTAGAAGGTTAGTTGTTGTGGTTTGGTGAACTTGCCCTGCAGGAGTTTCAATTTTGTATTCATCCACCAGACGGGCGGAGTATATGTTGGGATAGGTTTGGAAATGGATTAGGACATCTATTTAGGCGATTTGGGTCTAGCGTCACAGTTCCTCCTTAGGGACCCTGGTCTTTGGAATAGCTTTATCAGCTTGCAGATTCCATGAGCACAATTCCCAGATGTTTGACTTGCTTAGCGAAGTGTATCTTTTATCCTCGAAGTAATGGTTCTAGAAACTAGTTTATTTAGATGGACTATAATATATAGAGGAGATCACTCCACCCTGCGGGCATTGCTAGTATTTCAGTCTTTATGTAAAGTGAATCGATATTCCCTCCAAATGAAAATGCTCACCGAGGAGGCGATGATTGTTTGATGCCCAAGATCTGTTCCCAAAGGCTTGAAATGCTTCCGTTGGTGGTGCATTTTATAGGAGAAATCAACGATTTTTTCCTCATTTTAAAGACGCTGAGGTACCCTGCAGTTCGACGAGAAATGGGGGAAGGTCATTGAATTCCTGGGCCTTTGCTTGCTCAAGCTCCCTTAACTTTTTAAATTCAAATTTTGTAGATTTTCTAATGCAATGCAATATGCGTCAATTGAGGAAAAATCGAATGTCAATTTTCGAATTTTTCGGATTGATTCACGACTCGAAGCGAAACTAAAAAATTTACAATAAAATATAATCGGAAGGGCTCAATTAGTCGATCTTTGATTTAAAAATGGCATCCCTAGTTACATATGAAAGTTTGTACATATGTTTAAATATCCATCTAGGTGTGTAGGAGTTTAAAGCAGCTGCTTTTGCTTGTGGCTTAAACATACATATATACTATTTATATACATATGTAGATATCTATGTGACATCGCCGCGTAGGAGTTTATGTTTAATAAATGAGAAAGAAAATGCCCTGCTGCCGTTGCCACTAATATCTACTGCCCTTCAGTTAACAACACAAAAATTAGCAGCCATAAGTAAAAAACAGCAACAATAAGCACTCGAGCAAACATGCCACAGCTGTGTGTCAGTATCCCTACCTACAAACATACTGCTGCACAAATATATACTAAGTATACGTGAGTGTGTCTGTGCAACGATATAAATATTTTATGGGCGGGATTTCAAAAAGTCTATGCAATGCGCACTTCATTCCAATTCGACATTTTGTACACCCTCAACACTGTCTCAACAAAGCGTCTCTGCGTACTGTTGTGTGTCCAAAGGCAACGTAAGAAGAACATGCACAAAATAATGAATTTCCCTTTTTGTGTGAGAGAACTTCATCATCACTTTTCGAGCTAAGGACTAATGTTCATCAGCAGTCACATTATTGAAATATTCTACATGATAATCATGTTCTTTGTTTCAACTTAATTATGTACATATCATTATTATCATCATCATCAATTTCATATTTTTGCTCTTATGCACACTTTTCTCACTCACTCTCTCTCTCGCTCTCTCTCTCCGCACTCAACTCCTCTTCCTATGCAATGCTATTTGTGGTTGAAAATTTTGTCTCCAAAATCCGAAAAAGCTTTACTTAATTTTTTGGCTACAGTCAATGAAAATATTCGACCAACTAAATATATACGTTTATAAAGGACAAATATCAGATAATATAGCACAGATATTCCCGATGTCCAGTGCTGGTGTTATAGGCAAAGATTTCAAATGTTATCAAAATAATTTGTCTTCTTTCAGTTTTATCGTTGAAATTGTTTGTGTGTGTGTGGAGATGTTGGCGATGTTTCATCATTCTGTTTGTAGAACAAAGTTGAATAAAAAATGCTCTGCAAATTGTATAAATGTAATAGATCAAACGCAACTATTATGCCACAATGCTTGACAATCAGCTTGTAAAAATAAAGAAAATATGTTGTTAATTGTTATCTTAAATAAAATAAGAATACTAAAAACACGTATTCTGAATCATGAGTGAACAGTTGCTAACTCCATTTTTACAAATTTTACAACACAGGAAAATAACTTATAGACATTTTTCAAGTATTTTGCAAAACTTTGAGGAAATACTTGGAGTTTTTAAAGCAAATAAAAACTCTATACGATGCAGAAGAATTTGATTTTGATTAAAAGATTTCGCATTGTTTTTGGTCTTATCGAACTTTATGTGCCGCTTTTGCATTTAGCAAATTTGCTTTTGATTTATTGAATATAAACGGGAAAAAATAAACCAAGTACCCTAATCCGTTGGAGACTATGTATTTTTGATTTCTTTTACTTTCCATACGATAACCACGTGTTTTTGGTTCATCAGCAGTCACATTATTGAAATATTCTACATGATAATCATGTTCTTTGTTTCAACTTAATTATGTACATATCATTATTATCATCATCATCAATTTCATATTTTTGCTCTTATGCACACTTTTTCTCACTCACTCTCTCTCTCCGCTCTCAACTCCTCTTCCTATTCATTGCCAACTAACGGCAGCCATTGAACCAGTTAATCCTTAAACACACAACAAATGTCGTGCAAATAAGGCAACGAATGGTTCTTTTCGCTGTTCGCTTATCAATTTCGTTTGCCTACACTGCATGCGTCTCTTTTACTCCTGCGCGCGGTGCCCTCCTAAGGCTTCACCAGCAGGGGTAGTTCAGATACAGTTGTCTCGTTCCTTGTGTGCACTTCACACAAACACATGTATACATATGCATTTTTACCTGGTGAGCATACACACTCCTTCATAAATACATATCTACCTTACAGTGACGAGCATCCTTGTGCTCTCTTCGTCAATTTTTGCTCCTTTCACAGTCCAATTGCTTGTGCTTTTGTGTGATGCTTGTGTTGTTCTTATTGCGTCGGTTGTTGCTCTTGTTGTTGTTATTGTTTACTAGTTGTTGTTTTCCAATTGAGCCAGCAACCACCACCACTATCACCAACAGTCATCATTACCCTTAGCATTCAGCCCCGTCGGCAGTGGCAGTAGCAGCGGCAACTGCTCCTTTTGGCATTCTTCTAAGGACACACTTGCCTGTTTGGCTTCATTTCGTTACGGTCGTCGGTTGTGTGATGACACGTTACACGGTGAGCAGGAAGCAAAGATAGGTTGCATAAAAATGTCGACAAAAACTGAATGCAGGGTTGTATTTGTTGATATTTTTAGGTTAAGAATCCGTTTAAATTGAAATCCTAGCTGCTCCTGTTTTAAAGATATCCACATTTTACATAGTTATGATAGGACCGACTTTTGCGAAAGAGAAAAACATATTTGTGTATTATATATTCAACAATGTATGTGTGAGTAAATGTGTGTATATATATTATGTGAAAATATAAGTTTATGTAAGTTTTTAGCCGGTTTCGATCGTTTCCAAGGCGCACCACGTGGAGGCAACTTACTTTGCACCTCTTTGTTCTTTTTTTGGTTTTATTTTTTTATATTTATTTTCTTGCTTTATTTTTTTTATATTTGTTTTTTGTTTCCTTTTATTTCTTTGTTGGCTTAACATATAATATAGTCACACATTTTAGTATTTAAATATTTTATTATTTAATTAAGTTTTTATATATGCTGGAATAAAAATGTCATTACAGTTTTCTTCAGGCGACTCACAAAAGTTGGTTCATCAATCATATTTATTTTGAATCTATCCCAGAATTTGATGAAATCCCTATGAACTGACTCTCCGGCCTGCTCGGACCATAATCCTAAACCATCGTTATTCAATAATGAAATAGATTGCTTTAAATGTTCAAGGATAATATGGATTTTGACAGTTTGATAAATTCCAGTACTTTTCAAAGCTGTGCGGAGTTCGTTAAGATTTTTATCAAAATTACTAAGATCCTCTTGTTTTGCGGAAAAGCATGTATTCACGATTTTGTTCATGGCTTTGAACGAGGCAATATATTTGGTATTGTTTTTACTGAGAGTTTCTTCCATACAAACTATGTTCGACATTTTTTGGAAGACACTGTCAGCAAAAAATAAAAAATTGCAAAAAATCAACGAAATTTTCTGGTAACTTCAGACTTGCACTTTACTGCTCAAAAGCTACATTTTCAAAATTTTTCTAAAAGATCTGATTATAAATTGTGATCAGATGAAAGTGTCTCCGAGCCAATAATTTTGTACGGCACGGTACTTAAAAGTAATCTAGGTTTCACGAAAGAAAAAAAGGTACATACTTATATTAATCATCAACTATTGCTTATGCAAAACGTGCTAAATTTAAAAAAAAAAATCGCATATGAAAGAGCACCAACCCAACTCGTAATAAATTTAAGTATATAAATTTTAGTATTTAGTATAGAAATATTCAATTGAAATACGCCAATATTAAAATGAAGCGCCTTGCACTTAACGGATGCTTTTTCATAATTAAGTTAAAAAAAATATATTTAAATTCCATGCTGTCTGTAATGGGATTTGAACCCTGACGCTCTGGAAATTAGCAAATTGTGGCAAGCATCTTCGTGCACTCAGCTACAGCCAGACATGTAAATGTGCATTCAAATGTTCAGTTTGATTCAACACCACGTGTGCGTGGTATGAAAGTATTGTTTTTAAGTACGAACATTTCAAAACGATAATCAAATAAAAAATATTCATGTTTACTATGCGTTATTTCCCCCAGTAAATTCATAAAATTGTTCTTAATATTACAACGCGTTTTTTCTCTCAGTGTAGTCATTTTTATGCAAAATTTGTGCAATCAAATCGAAAACCGGGACACTTAAATGGAATCCGGGACATTTTAAGGTTGGACCGGGACACCGGGACACCGGGACAATTAGTCTAAAACCGGGACATGTCCGGGAAAACAGGGACGTCGGGCAGCCCTACACACAAAGCGCATACTTTCATGCGATTTTCTTCATGATCGCATTTGTGTTCTGGATGTACAATAGTCATTATTTCCTGACAGAAGAGTACATAAATACCAAAATAAATGTCATACAAGCTTTGAATTTATTTACTTATTATGAGGAGTACCGTTGGCCTAAGTTAGAGCATTTTTATTTCTTGCGCAAGCGCAGTGCGACTTGCCTGCGCTACTTGCTTATAGCAACAGACCTTTAATAAAAAATTACTACCGTATTATATAGCATATAATATTGTATACATACATACATATATTGCGATATTGAAAGTGTTTGTAATGAGAAAGTTCACGCTACAGAAAAAGGTAATTGTGGTGGTTTATCTAAGTTGTATACCGGTAGCTCCCAATAAATTTCGATCAATTGTTCTTTCGGTAGGAAAAAATGAAAATGTTTCACATTGACTTGACCAGTTTTAGATAGTTAAAAAAGAGAAACAGATTTGTATGAGATTTCTTTTCGTATAAATATGCTCTAATTATCGAGAAGTACGCCTTCCTCTTTTGCAAATATATCCTATCAGAAATATATAAAATGTGGATATCTTTAAAACAGGAGCAGCTAGGATTTCAATTTAAGCGGATTCTTAACCTTAAGATATCAACAAATACAACCCTGCTTTCAGATTTTGTCGACATTTTTATGCAACCTATCTTCGCTTCCTGCCCACCGTGGTTATGTGTTGTTTCGTTATTCATCGTCTTTTCATAAACTGATTGTAGCGCAGCACTATTGTTGTTGTGTAAAGCGTATCAACTAAAGGATTATTGAAACTGATTTTAAAACTTAAAACAAAAGTGGTGAAGTACACAGTTTGTACTAAATAACTGTACATTGATCATCTTGAATTAAAAAAAAAAAACTGTATGAAACGCATTTAAGTTAATCAAAGTGCGAAGTGTTCAGTGATTGCCAACCATCAACAGAAAGCTCCAGTCATCTGAAGGCAGCCCGCTAAATATGGTTTATTTTGTACGTATTTTGAGTTATTATTATTTTGTAATTATGTAGTTATAATTACGATTGGAAGATTTCTTCGCGAACTATTTTTAATATAATATTTCATGGCAAACTTTTTCCGTCGGAGGTAGACTAAAATTTTAGTTTTCCGTCGGCGATGTCTCTTTTCACGGCACATAATTTTCGTAGGCTCATGTAAATTTTGTTGAAAAGAAATCAATCTTCTCTGATTAAAATTAGAAATTTTTTTTAAGTCGGTGACGACCAGAGAAAGAGTTGCCACCTGTTAAAAATGTTTTAATTAAATTAATACGCGGAAACGACTGACCAGATTTGCATGACATTTCGCACAGAGATAGCTTATGACCTATGTTGGAAAATAGCCTACTATTTTAAGAGTTATCACGTATTAGGAAAGTTTAATTAAATTAATACGCTTAAATGACTGAACTGATTTGCATGAAAGTTTGCACACAGATAGCTTATGACGTAGACTGGAAAATAGGCTACTTTTTTAAGAATTGCCACCTGTTTGAAAATGAAATTTTGCTCAAAGATGGTTTATGACCTGGTTTGAAAAATAGGCTACTTCCTTAACCGGTTTTCCGATCAGAACGAAATTTAGTACACTTACTACGGATTTCGGAAGGATGGTCTTAGACTGAAAGTAAGTCCGATAACTCAAGACCCCTCCCATACAAATTGGAATTTTCATATTACATACATATCTCTGGAAGTATTTGTGGGAGAGAATTGAAACTTGGTATAGTGATATGTATGTGAAATCAATGCTGGCATTAATCGATTGATGTTTTAATCAGTTAGTTAATTCGATTAAATTCAATCTGATTACAGTTAATCATGATTAATTTTTATCTGACTAACAGTTAATCGTAACCGCGATTAAAAAAATTAATTTTTTATCATTAACTCCTAATTTGACCAAGTAGGTTTGGTGATTAATTAAGTTATGCTGGAATTTCCCTGTGCACACAAAGCAAGTTAATCCGGTATAGCTAAGTTGGTTTTCCTCATCAATCTAAGCAATTTGGTGTGCATTTTCATTAAGATATATACCAACAAACGTTTTACAAACTAGGTTTGTAAAAGTTCCCAGTTTATGTATTACTAATAACAAAAATTATATTTTTTTTTTATATTATGTGCTTTTTATAAGCGTAAAACACAAAATAATTACTATAACTGGTGTTTGGTTTCAAACTCGGACAAACTAGAAAAATGAATCAGATTTTATTTTTAGTTGGATTAACGATTAATGTTTTAAATTAATTAAACGTAATCGCAGCCAGCGATTAACGATAAAAAAAATGTTATCATTAATCGTATAGTTGATTACGACTAATTAATTTTAATCGTCAAACCCGATTAACATTTTAATCGTTAATTTTTAATCGTTAATCAGATTAACAGTTTGCCAACACTGTGTGAAATCATGTTCATATTCACGGAGAAATATGGAGGTTTTTGGAAAATTGGCGTAGCACCTCCTATACTGACTGAAAGTTTCTGCATATCTCTTCAAATGTTTGGGGTAAAGCGCTCAAGCTTGGTATGGAAATATATATGTATGTATGAATGTGAAACTAATACCATGCTCATGGAGAAAAATGAGAGTTATTGGAAAAGGTGGTGTGGCAACTCCCATGCAAATTGATTTTTCTATGCTGCATATCTCTGGAGGTGTTTATTGCAGAGGACTGGAACTTGGCACCGAGATGTGTATACAAAATTAATTCCATACCCATGGAGAAAAATTGCGTTATTCGAAAAGGGGACATGGTTCCTCCCGTACAAATTTACTGTTTTATACTGCTTATCTCTGGAGGTGTTATGGTAGAGTACTGGGACTTGGTACTGGGGTATGTAAAATCAATTCTAAATTCATGGAAGAAGATTAGGGTTATAAGAAAAAGGGGCGCGGCACTTCCAGTACAAATTTACTTTTTCTTGCCACATATCCCTGAAAGTGTTTGTGGAAGAATACCGGAACTTGGTATGGAGTTGTGTATACAAAATGTATCAATTGCTCATGGAAAAAATGTGAGTTATTAAAAAAGGAGGCATGTCGGCTACCATACATACTAAAAACTTCTTAATACATAATAAGTATTTTCAATTTGTTATGGAAATTTATTTTATAAGTGCCGTACTGACAGAATAAATTTCATTAAATGGAAAAGGGAGAGCCGGGTTCGGCCTTATAATCTAAAGCTCTCTTGAGACATTTGCTACAGTATACTGCAGTAATGAGAAGTGATATTAACCCGCCGTGGAACCTCCAAGAAGGTTACACGTTCACGCGTCGTATACCTGGAACCATTTTAAGGTAAATATTTCGTATGCCTAGCGCGCTGACGAGATTTTATAATTTTATAGTTTTAAACGGCCTAAATACCTTAACTCGCTTAAAAAATAACGAGCTATAACGAAATTGGGACAGAAATAAAATCTAACATCATTAAATTATTTTTCATATTTGTATGAAAGCGCGGGGTAAAACCCGCGGGTATAAGCTAGTATATATATATATTTAAGTCGTTTTTTTTTGCTAAAAATTACTTGTATTATATATTTTTTATATTTTTGTAAATCATATGTTTTTAGTCATATGTTTGGTCAAAAATATTGTTCTTCGAAAAAAAACATGCAAAATCCAACGGATATATTAAAAAAAATAATTTTTTGTACTTTTCATTATATTAATATTACAGATTTTGAGACAAGAAACGCGATTCCACTGTTTAAAAAACGAAAAAAATGTGAACCCCTCAATTCGAAAAATGCATTATATATTGCATTTTTTATGATTTGCATGCAGCTGTGCATCCTTCTCACACAATTTTAGTGCTATTCAAGACCTTTAATTTAAGCCAAGGTAGAAGTCTGATAACTAAATTGTTACGATTCTGAAATTTCATTCGACGTTTTACGCAATTTTTGGCTGTTAGAAGGCCTTAAGGCTTCTACCTTGGCTCAAATTAAAAGTCTTGAAATGCACTTATTGTTCGAGGGATATAAAACTGAGTGAAGGATGCACAGCTGCATGCAAATCATAACAAATGCAATATATAATGCATTTTTCAAATTGAGGGTTTGACATTTATTTTCGAATTTCGAACAGTGGAATCGTGAAGAAATAAGAAATATATACATTTTTTGTTTTGGAAAAAATTTTGCATATTTTTTTCGAAGAACACTATTTTTTACCAATTTGTTTAAGATCAAGGCGTAATTGTCAATGGCAATATTTTTTCGTGAAAGGGATTTACTTTAGCTTTCAAGACCATTTTGTTTCGTATCAAATGAAGGGGTTAATTTTCCCTATTTCCTTAATCCTTTTAATCGAATTTTAGCTCCAAAATGGAGAATTTTTGAAATCAAACTTTGTGTTGCTAAAACTCGGATAAAACCGATTTTTTCTAGAGAAAGTCGAATTTCATCTTTATTTCCAAAAAAAAAACTCTGCAACATTCTTCTTTCTGACTAAATTTGACATCACAGTGAATGGCACTACATTTGCCTTAGGAATGCAAGTAAATAAATGCATATTTTTCGATATGATGCATCGAAACAAAAAATCGATGCCAAGAAGGAATAACAGTCAAACGCAATTTTAAACAATTTTTTGTAAAAAAACAAGAATTTTTGTTGATTTTTTTTTTTTAATTTTTAGAGACATTTACGTTTGTGGCATGAAACTTTTGCCTGAGAAGACCCCTAGTAAAATTCTCCGAAGAATAATTTTCTAGAATATATCAATCCACTAACGACCTTCCAAATTTGCTTTTTGCGCGGTTTCTTGAAGTAAGGCTTAAAAAGGACCCTTTCAGGCTGCAGTTAAAATGTTCTACGAAAATATTTTAATATATATGTCTTGACCTTTAATTTCGCTCAAAAATTTATTTTAATAATTTTTTCCACCTTTTTGAAAAGTACTTAGGCTGAGACATGAAAACTTTAGTAGCCCATAAAATAAAAACACGAGCTTACTTTTGCAAATCCATAGAGAGTTTTACTACTGGGGTTTAACTTTTTAAACAGGTGGCCACCCTCTTCAAGCACCTCACAAATATTTTAATTGTTGTATAGTATTTTAAGCACAACACTTCTTTAACTAAATTCGACTTTTCAAACAGGTGGCAACCCTCCTACATGTAGTTAAAAAAATAAAGTTTATTCAAAACCATTTCCATTGATATCCATATTGGGGTAATTTATTTAACTTATTAAATAATTTGAATTTGATTTTCTAACATATGACATCTCATTTTTGAAAATCGTTCTAACAATACAGATTTACAATACAGTTAAGCAACCGTTTCAAGGGCTGGTTTTCAATAGCTTTATTTGAAAATTCTTTAGAATTTTTGTGAAAAAATTAACAATATTTGACAGTTTAGATAGCAACTATTTTGAAAAAAATCAAAACAACAGTTTATTGTCAAAAATATTCAGTTTTTTTTTTAATATTGTACTACGCCAAGTGAAATATAGAAATAAAATTAAAAACAAAATTAAATTGAACCGCCAAAATTTTTTGTGGAATTATTTTCTTCTATGTACAGATATGAACCATATCTGACCATAAATACGGCTTTTTCAAATATCTCGACATCTGTGCCACCTAGCGGATTAATTATGTGTTGGTGTTGATTGATTTTTCCGATTGGGTGGTAAGATGATTTATTTATACATCATATTGAATTGTCATCGGGTTTTAAGCAAAGTTTGAAGTTTCAAGTCTCTAGCTCATCGGAAAGTTGGCTAAAAATTTAATACAATGTTATTTTTGTACAACAATTAAATACACTACAGAAAAATTATTGTTAGCCAGATAACCTGATAACCAGGCAAGCGTGAATAACCACAATATTTTATTAACACAGGTAAAACATAATAAAAGCTTGTAAAAATGGGTGCAATTTAAAATTTTAATGAAAAAAATTAACAAACTTTGAATTTTTTGAAAATTTTGAATAATTTTGAAAAAATAATCAAATCACCTACTCTACTACTACTACCTGTTCAATATGCCTTGGTCTTACCTTTATTTTCGTAGTATGTTGACGGCATGTACATAAAATGTGCTTTACCAAAAGAAAATTTTTGAAGTTTAGCCATCCAGTAATAAGGCAAGAACAAGGTCACGACTGGCCGACGACTTGTGGAAGGTATAAAGAAGCTGATGATAAAAAATTGTAGGGAGTACAAAAGACGGGGTCATTTGGAGGTCGCAAGTGCAGCAGGCCAAAGCTGTCTGGAGTCAAGTCTTCGATACCAGAATATTTAATCTGAGACTATTTTAAACACTGATAGTTCTTTTGAAAAGTACCATACTACAAAAAAAATATAATTTAAAGAACGTTCTACTTATATTCCAAATTTCGTCTCCGAAATATCAGACATGGCTACACAACACTTCAAATAAATTTAGTCTTAATTTACTTAAGAACCAATTTAAGGCCATTACTGCATACCACTTTAGTTTCCAAAAACAAAAAAAAACAAAAAAAAAACTTATGAATTTCATAAATTACTTTGAGTACCAATTTGCAGCGCCTGCCAATTTAGACAATTAATCAATTTATTTATGTATATGAAATAGTGTTAAAGGCGTGTAAATATTAACACATTTGCTGTGCAAGCGAACACTTATGCGCGCACATGAGTTTGTATGAGAAAACACATAAGAAATCTGGCATGCAGCCATATGTACATACATACATATGTATGTGAACTGGTAAGCGCTACTTGAGCAGAATTTGTGTTGCTTTCGAAGGCAAGAAATTGACCCACTCAAGTGAGAAATCGAGTTAATTAAAACGAGAAAGTGGCAAAATGGTGACGCGCAAGGGTACATGAGTACACACACATACATATATAACTATGTACATATGTATTTGATAATTTGTGAGCTTCAACATATTGCTGCAAGTAGGAAGAAGTAAAGCCAGTTAAGCCAACTGTAAGCCGCAGCAGGCACAACGGATGTCGCACATTAAAGTTGATGGACGTTATGTGTTTGTGGGGGCTGTGCGGAAGAAGTAGAAAAGTTTTTGACGATTCAAGTGGAAAAAGAAGGAAGTGAACTTTTACACTTGCAGTCAAGTGTGAAGAGCCAAAAAACAATCAAATGAGATTTGAAAGAAAAGAAGGGAGTGAGAATGCCATGCAAATTGTACGATTTGTGAGGAGAAAAAGGGTTAGCCTAAGCAAGGGGCGATAGAAAGGGAGCTCGACTGATTTGGCGCGAGTGTTTATACGCAAACAGCACAAGCCTAGTTGGGCCTTTGTTAGAATTAGTGTAGCGCTCAAGCGCTGGGGAATTATTGAACGCGCTGAGAAGCGTTTTACAGCGCAAATCAAAACGTGTCCCAGTGCCTTCGGGCCATATGCTGGGAAATCGGTAAGGTATGCCGGCAATAAAGGAGTATATATAAATAGAAGCCACATGCAAAAAGCTTTCAAAGTTGGGAAAAAATTGTTGTTTTTTGTTTTGTTTAAGGCAACGCAGTTTGATCTGTGACTGAAGCGCAGCATTTCAAGGATATTCAAAGGATATATTGTCAGTATGCACTCAAGTGTGCACTCACAAGCCACATACAATTAATACTAGCGCGGGCTGGAGCCGTCAATATCCGGGCGCGGGCAAGCGCTGAGCCAAGCAAGCGCTAACAGGATTCGGCATCGATTGATGGGCGGCGATGTGCGAAAGTGATTTCATGTCGGTTTTGTTGGTTGCATGGTCGCATGCAAATTGCCGGCGCCGTATTTAATGATATTTGATTTAGTTCACCAGCTTTTGTCAAATATTGACTTTGAAAATGGGCTAAAAACGTGTGCTTGCACCACAATCACTAAGCGGCTACGGGCCCCTAACGGTGTATTTATGGCATCCTGCCGGCGGGAAAATCGTAAACGTAAACGATGCTGTGGTTCAGCGTTCCACAAATTGAATAGCAAGCGACATACATACATGGAGCGAGGCGCAAGGCAACAACACAATGCGCTTTTATAGTAGGGGGGCGCGGCATATGCTGTGAACGCACTTTGCCTGTTGCGGCAACAATTCCGGCGGCAGCACAGCGGCGCGCCGCCATCGTGCAGGCAAATAAAAACAGTGGTAGAAGAATAGAAGAATATGCGAAGCATAGAGTGTATATTAAAAGATTTTCTAGCAAATTGCACACATTGTTTAGCATTAACGTATGCGTTTTTAATTGTTAACCCGTTGCTATTGAATATTAAACGCAAACTAATCCCCCCCTCTTTCTCTATTCTTCTCTCTCTCTTTCTCTTGCAGAGGCCGCAACCGTGTAGTCCATCGGGTGTTATTGCAGTGATGCCGCCATCGAAGAGTCCCACCATGGAAACGGCCGCCGGTCAGCAAGCAAATGCGCGCGTCACCGCTGCCGCCGTCGTTAGTGAAAGCGACGCGGAGCAGCAGCGAGCCGCCACGCCATTGAGCAACAGCGGCGCCCGCACCACAACTACCAGCACAAGTTTACCCAATACGCGCTCATGTCCGCTAAAGTTTTCTATAGCGAAAATTATGGAGCCCGATCAACGCGCCAACAGCGCTGAGTGCCTCAACGCGCACGAGGGCGAGGATTCGGAGCGCTCATGCAGCCCCATAGAGGTCGCCAGCGATGAATGTGAGTCTGAGCAGCGCGTCGAATTGCTACAGTCAACAGCTAGTCAGCAACAATGCACCAACGCGAGCGGCAGCGAAAACTATGATTCCGCCTTTAAAAAATATGTGCCCTCCTCCGCTGCGGCTGCCGCTGCAGCAGCCGTCGCCACTACTGCTACCAATGCCGCTGCCGTGCAACAATTTGTGAGCACACGTCATCAGGAATTGATGTCGCAATATCCGTTGCTCTATTATGCGCCCAATCAGCTGATGTGCGCCGCCGCCGCCGCGCAATATGCTGCGCTAACTGCCGCGCAACAGCAAACGCTGCTTGCCAATACCGGCGCTGCAGCACATTTGAGCAGCTTTACCGCCTCGTTGAACAGTTTTCACACGCAATCGCTGCGTCGCAACCTTAGCGCTTCTGGTCATCATCTGGCCGCTGCCGCGGCAGCTGCTGCAGCAGCGCAGGCACAAGCGCACCATGCGCATCATCAGGCGCTTGCAAGCGCGCATCCACAGTTGCAGCAAACGTTGGAGAAGCATCATCAGCAACAGCACAAGTTAAGGGAAGGTGGAGCCAGCGCGGGCGCTTGTCATAGCATGAAGCGCAAGCATAGCGCCGGAGTTGTAGCTGCTGCCTCGGCTGCTGCTTCCGCGAGTTCAGCTGCACAGCCAGCACCCGCTTTGAATGAGCATGGCTCTTCACGCGGATCCTCGCCCGCTTCACGCCATCTACGCTCGCCATCGCCCAACTCACTCGACGACAGCCCTGGCTCTGCGGCGGGCAAGCAGAAGACATTCTCCTGTCTGGAATGCGGCAAAGTCTTCAACGCGCACTACAATCTCACGCGTCACATGCCAGTGCACACAGGCGCGCGCCCATTTGTTTGCAAGGTGTGCGGCAAGGGTTTTCGGCAGGCATCGACGCTGTGCCGCCACAAGATCATACACACCTCCGAGAAGCCGCACAAGTGCCAAACCTGCGGCAAGGCCTTCAACCGCTCCTCCACGCTGAACACGCACACCCGAATTCATGCTGGCTACAAGCCATTCGTGTGCGAGTACTGCGGCAAGGGTTTCCACCAGAAGGGCAACTACAAGAACCACAAGCTGACGCATAGCGGCGAAAAGGCTTACAAATGTAATATCTGCAACAAAGCCTTTCACCAAGTCTACAATCTCACCTTTCACATGCACACACACAACGGTAAGAAGCCATATACGTGTAAGGTGTGCGCCAAAGGCTTTTGCCGCAACTTCGATTTGAAAAAGCATATGCGCAAGTTGCACGAATTGGGCGGCAGCGACCTCCTCGACGATGATTCGCCACCGAGTTTTGAACGCCGCCGCGAGTATACCACACACATCTGCAGCACGGCAGCCAATTGACGCCCGACTCATCCGCTGGTAGCTTATCGCCACCGATCAATGTCACCACTCCGCCCCTCTCCAGCGGCGGAGGCGGCGGTGATGGCAGCAACTCAGCTTGGCATACGCCACAATATCAGACGCTCACCAGCGCGCAGCAGTCTTCAGCTGTTGCAGCAGCGGCCACAGCTGGCTATGTGCCGCATCACTCGCTGCCACAAATGAGCAGCAGTTTTCGCGCAACTGCTGAGTATTCTGCCAGCTCTGCGTTTATGCAAGTCGCCAATGCCGCGTCGACTAGTGCAACGGCTGCTTTGGCCGCCAGCCCCAACAGCGCTGTGCAAATGATATCCGCCCACCAGCAGCAGCACCACCAACAACAACAGCATACGGCGGCTCACCAGCAACTCAATCACCACCACCAGCATCATCACAATCCTAGTCACCATCATCCGCATCATCATCACCAGCGGCTTTCGGCTGCAGCTGCCGTTTCCGCCATGGATCAGGTGCCCTTCATAGCGAAAGTGTTTTGACAGCGCTACTATGCGGACAGTTTGGCCACAACCGCAACAACACAGCATGCCGCAAGCACTCTGAGTGCTTCCTCGAAGAGCATATTCATCGATTGACTGCAGTTTGTAGCAGCCGCTGCGGCGGCGACAGCAACAGTGACATCGTCAACGGAAACGTCAGCGAATTCGAGTTTTGCTGCGACGATGTCGTCGGATATGGAGGACGAAGAGGAAGCTGAGCTTCTTGTTGATGCTGTCGACGAGGTCGTCCAGCTTGATTTGACTAATTCGCCTGTGGAGCAGTTCGAAGAGCAGCGCACAGCATTGGGCACGGCCGTCGAGGCGCTCAATCGTCTACTCTGAGCTGTTGACTGCTGTTGGCTTCCAAATGAGAAAATGGTTTCATGATAGGGGCACCAATGCCTGCTAACCTCCAACATATGATCTCCGCTAGGGCAAAAGTGTGCAATATAGCGTTTGAATGCGTGATGCAATGCGAAAAGACCGCTCAGGACCGCGAAGCATGCGCTCAGGACCGTCTCTTGTGGACACTCTTCTGCGAAAACAAAGAAATTTTAGCTCGAAAATTTCATTTCAAATTTCTGTTGTAAATATTATTCCTCAAGAGAGAGCGTTAAAGTAACAAATGAGAGGGTAAGAATAGGATTTCGTTAGTTAAGTGAATGCACTAGTGTATGAATATATGTATATTCGTAAGTTTATGTTATATATATGTATGTATGTAGGTATCAATACCTAAATGTGAAATATCACCTTATAAATCCCAGCCAGCAAGAAAACGTACATTTTACGAACATTATGTTTTACGAGGGATTCTCGTATCGCCAAAAAGTTAGAGAAAAGCTCGTAAACGACAAAACAAAAAAATATAAAAGAAAGAGGCTTGTAGTAATTTGTCAGCACAAGAAAAAATTTTAGTTTTGTTGACAATTTTTCTTCAATCACAATATTTTATAAGTAAGTAGTTTGTTAAATATTCAATTTAAGAAAATTATTAAGTATGTGATTTTTTGGCGGACTGGTGCAAACGCACAGGACGATCTACCACTTTCTTTTATAATTAAACTTCTTGTAAGTAGCTACTACATATGTAATTCAAAAATACAAATTAATTTAACGAGTTTTGCAATTCTTTCACAGGCTGCGCGGAGCAACACTAAAGGATTTAAACGTTTAATTCCCCTATAGCGCTATTGGTTTGGCCACGACTGCGGCAATAAGAAGTACGGATAATAATATTATTTATTACCACTTTTTACTTAATTAAATTTTCCGATTTCCAATGGAGTTTAATCTTTCACTTTATTTTCTTAGGTGCTTTTCGTCAAAAATTTAACTCCGACGAAGAAGTTTTTATTTCCGTTTCAAAAAAGCACTTCCAATATGCTCACGACCGGCAAAAAAAAATTGGCAGCCTATCAGCAAGAAAGATAAAAAATAAATTCAGCTACTTTATAATATATATTAAACCCCTCTTATTTAACTGTTAATTTGTTAACAGATAGTTTGTTAATATGTATTTATCTGAAAATATCTTCACATATACAGTGCCGGGAAAAAATATTGGCACAGAGAATTTTTCGGCATGAATGCAAAGTTTTTTATTCTGATTTCTTCTCTAATTGTTTTTTATAAAAATATAGTTAGTATGAAGTTCAAATCAGATTTTTTAGAAAAATTCTAAGTATGCAGTTTTATAGCCGATTCAATTTTAGTATAATAAAGTGCACGCTTGAATAGCTAGAAATCCTCTTTGTTTTTTGGCAATTTTTTATACGCAGTTTCTTCCATACAAAAACAAAATGTCGCCCATAATTTGCATGGAAGAAACTGCGTAAAAAAATTGGCAAAAATCAACGTGGTTTTCTGGCAACTTCAAGCTTGCACTATGTTATACTAAAATATAATGGGATATAAAACTGCATACTTAGAATTTTTCTCAAAAATCTGATTTGAAAGTAGGTCTTCATACTAACTATATTTAAAAAAAAAAAATTTCCGAAAAGAAATTCAAGTAAAAAACTTTGCATACATTGCGAAAAATTCTCTGTGCCAATACTTTGATCCGGCACTATAAATATTTATTAATTATAATTCCATTCAATGAAAGAACTACAATAATTTGAATTAATTAATTGCCTTTATTTCTAGCATTCAAAAACAGTAGATAAAGCAGTGTAAAAAGACGCTTTTTTAACGTAAATTAATCGTTTACGAGACTCGTTTACAATTAAAAAACGGACGTAAAAATATTCGCATACGAATGCTTTTTCGATCCGTTTACGACTGTTCGTAGGCGATGCACAATTTAAAGCGAAAAAGTGCTCGAAAAAGAGTCGTAAACGGCTATCATAAACGATTTTTAATCCAGTTTTTCTTCGAGAAAATATCCAATTACGAGCTCGTTTACGATGATTTTGCTGGCTGGGATGTCATTTATATAAGTACATACATATGTACATTAGGGTGCACCAAAAAAGTTGCGGTTTTTCCATCAAAATTATAAAATATTTATTATGTGAATTTTAATACTTCCGCCAAAATATTACGATTTACGTGAGCTAGGCCGATTAGAAAATACCTCCAAAAATCTTATTATTGTGATTCTGTTAATAAAACGTTTAAACGTTTTTATGCAGACTTTTTGAGCATACACTCTTCTATCATCTGAGATGATTATTTAGAAGAAATATTTTTAAAACCTATTTTTATTTATGTATATAAAATGTGTTTGAAGCAAATATAAATCTTTTTTTTGAATATTTTAGCGACAGACTTAAAATATAATAAATTTTATAATTCCGACGAAAAAACAGAATCAATTTTTTCTAAGTAGAGTGATACACCCTAATGTACAAATGTATATCAACACAGAACTTACATATCTTCTACGCCCACGTACAATTCAATTTTAAATGTAGTAGTTTTAGTGAAATTATAAATTAGTTTTATTTATAAAAAATTGTGAGATTTATAAAATAAAATTTAATTCAAATAGAAAAAAAAACAAAAATTATATAAAAGAAAATATATATACTATACAATTAATTAGACGACCTTAGACATTAATTAATTGAACTAGAATGATGAATTGAATGTGTTTGAATTGAAATTACATTACATGTGTATGTATGTACATGCATATGCACGTATGTATGTGTATTAAAGCAAAATAAAATTGCATATTTATGAAATTCTAAAATCATGTTTTTATTTTTTTTTTAAGAATTTGCTATAGCTGACGGTTGTTGTCTTTTAGAACGTAGTGGTTTACGACACGGCTAACGTGTAGCAGTTTTCTCAGATAGTTAGGTGGCCATTGAGTCTTTGAAGTCTTTTACAACAAAGTCTAAATCTAAAAGGGAGTGTTGAACTCTTCTAAATGCCGTAACTAGTCAGCTCGATCTCGATATAGTTTGGATCGCTGATCGTCACAACATTTCCGGCAACGAGGCTGAAGACGAGTTCACCAGAGAGGGCGCCACATTGGCCTCCATCGTGTATCGGATCTCACCCCCAATTGGAACCATATACAGAGAAATCTTTCTGCACAATCTTCAGAAATCGGATCAAAAGTGGTGCATGGCCAGACCTGACGTTGCAAGAGGCTAACTATTATCCAGTCATTGGACGGTTGGCAGCCACGCCAGAAGGCTGGGCACACCTTACAATGACTTCTGTAGAAGCTGCAGAAACGAAAACGAACAGGTAACAGTAGAGCACCTCCATTGCAGATGTCTAGCTTTAATGAGGAACGGGAACACCATACCCTTTTTTAAATACAGAAAAATATAATAGGGTTCTTAGCCAGAAACTGAAAAAAGAGAGCGTACAGTGCGAAAATAAATTAACCATATCCCAGCCAGCGGAACGCTCCGACTATAGAGTCAAAGGGTTTTTCGTTATGTTATTTTAAGATTTTTCCCTTTGTATCTAGTCTGTAAGGTGGTTAATGCCATAGACTGAAAACAAACAAATTTGAATTGAATGGGAAAAAATAAGTGTGTTCTTAAAAGGGGTCGGTATTCGGTAAATGAAGGCTCCTAAAAAACAATCTAATATTCTTGGAAACGGACGCCGCCTAAAACTGTTGAAGCGAATGAATTAATCGGTAAACCATAACGAAGAAACAAAATTTTTGCCTAACATTAGAACTCTACAGGCTCATTTAATAGGAAATTGGTTGCCCCGGGCAAGAAATTTAACAGATAGAGTGAAAAGTGGTTCAAAAGTTTAAAGAAACGTTTATCCAAAGATGATGAAAAATATATTTTTTATTAATTCCATTCTTTCTCCATTTTTTCTTGTTTTTGTGCAGAATATTATGTAAAACCATTTTATTTATTTTATTTTATTTTTTGAAATTAGGAGCATTTTGAGAACCGTAAAGCCTACTCTTCGTGCCATTGTCGAAGTATGAAAGCAATCCCAAAAAACTTTATCTAAGTTATCTGCCGTTGATTTCAGAGGTACTTTTCAAAAATATACGAGTAGAGTCCGCACAGAGTTTTGCGGGTTATTTGAGTGACCTTACAGGTACTTTGACTCCTTTAAATAGTAATATAGGCGCATCTTGTATACAGATCAGGACCTTTTCTCCGGCAGTTATGCCACTTTGGGACTCTTTCTGGAGTCGAGTAGTATCAGGAAACTCTGTAAGGAATCGTTAGGTTCAAGAATTAGGAGTTCTCCTTTCCTTTCCAAGGAACACACCAATTTAGTTTTGTTAAAATAGAGATTTGAGCATGAACTAGATCCAACCCTTGTTAGAATCCAGACCCGGATTGCATAAAATCGCCCAGAAAAATCTTTTATAACTTTGGTAACCGCTTCCTTTCGCATTCATTGAAGTTGTGCATTATAAGTAGCTAAAAATCTGCTATTCGCTTGCCTTACCAATTACATATAAACTGTTGTTATATATTAGATTACCTCCAATGACATGCCTAAGTTAAAATAACGCGTTCTTTGAGAGCTGGAAGGAAAGCAGTAAATATTTTATTCGAGATTCACTGCTTACCCTCTAGATTACAGAGCGCGTGATTTTACCAAATGAAATACTTTTTAATATAAACAGAAATCCATTTGCAGTCAAGAATGAGATGGTAGGGGATCAAGGCTTCTAAGATAGCACGCGAGATTGGGCCTGACTTCAACAGAACAGTACAAAGGATCTGCTAATTGGGCCAAGGGTAGACAACACAATCTGCGGATGCAAGCGAGGAAAACGTGACTTTTTTAAAGATATAAGATCGGGGAGTACAATAATAAAATACCCAAAAGGGTAAAACGAATTTCAAAACCTCATAAACGGCTCAAAGGGGTTCGACTAAAGCAACTAAAATAAAACTAAAATAACGGCAAATTGAACATTGATTGAACCGTCACAAAACTTGGTCAGTACTACACAGACATAATGGCAAATCTGAGGTGAATATTAGTCAACTAGACTTGAACTTTGGACAGTGGGTGCCGACCTTCTTCTCGAAGCAAATTTTCCATGCGATCTAGTCCCAGAAGAGGCATATCACCACAGGGTGGTCAAGGGTGACGTTTATACCGTAGGCCGGCAAGAGCTCCCACAACTCTACCAAGGATTTCAGAAACAGTATTACTCTTGACCGCTTGCCAAGAGCTTAACATGCATATATAAAGGGTAGGTGGGTTGAGGCGATCGTGAAATTGATAAAGGCAACATTATTTAACAAATACTCCACTATGTGGGCCTTTCTCCTCATCGAGGCGGCTTCAAATAATGTTCTTCAGGGAGCAATTATCAGATCCC